ACAAGATATTTTCGCGCCCACTTACTACTTTCCTCGGCCTTCTTGACTATCGACTCACATTCTCCACCTAGAACCTTCCTAATAACACGCTGATTCTCCGGTGTAGAAGTGATAGGAGAGAAACTCATCTCCATTGGTGGAGCACGATGCAGATTGCGAACGCGCGCCTCTGTATCCGAGGACATTGGCGTAGAGTTATGCGATGGTAGGTCGAAATTTGTAGAAGGATGCACACCCGGTCGTCTGTTGTAGGAGATGTTGCTCCAGGGACGCTACCCGGCGTTGTGATCGATATCGAGGGCAGGGGGGAGCGAACACTATACCTAGCACTTACAGCCTTCCGTATCGGAAAAGTCAGAGCCACCTCTAGAAAATAAGCAGGACTACATACGTTCTTCCTCTGCAGCAGCCAGTAAGCTCGTGCCTGTCCTCGGCATACTAATAGTGCCCTTCCTGGCCTCTATTCCACCTCCTTTCTTTTTTTTCTTACTTCCACCTCTGCCAGAATCGCCCACAATCTTGATCATACTCTTGATCAGACCTGGACCTTTCTCCACCGCCTCCTCCGTTCCGGTGGTGTTGCTGGTACTGCTGGGCCCGGAACCATTTCTGCGTGCAGCTGCCCTCCCTCTCTTCTCCTCTTCCTCGCTCACAGGCGAATTTGATCTAATACTTTCCTCCGTACTAGTAGTCTCATCTTCATCGGAGGAATCAATCACTGGACGTTCATTGACATCACCGTAGCCCTCCCCCAATCTTACACCCCCTTCGCTCGTCAATGACCGCCCAGTGCCAACATGGACACGCTCCTCCTCAAAAGTTGTAATTGGCCTGCACTCCGGCAACATTCGAAAACACCCCCTGATTTCGCGAGTGCTTCATCTGAGAGCTTGGCATAGGCATGTTCCAAACCAATTGGGGTGCCTGCATCGTTGGTTATTTGGTTGGAAATCTGGTTGCCAGCAAGCGGGTGAGGAGGGGCCGTCATCCACAGGAGGATTGCGGGGATGCAGATTTCTGCTCGTGATGTAATGCGGGACTTTGGAATTGGTGAGAGAGACCGCCTCCAGCAGGCTGGACGCCAGTATCATACGAAGAGGGCGGGGCAGGGTCATTCCGGGATGCTTGAGTGGCACGCTTCGGGGCGGGTGGGGGAACTGAATGGCGAAGAGCAAAATTGTGGGCATCATTGGGGGTGAGGTTCCCAGGCTTATGGATATCTCGATCCCGAAGCAATTTCGGGGTACCACGCAAGGAGGACATGGAATTCCAGTAAGGTGCACCATTAGAGTTAGACCAAGCAAGATGTCCGGCCGAGCACGGCGCTCGCGTAGTATCGGTCAAGGATCGATCTGGAGGAGAATCCTGTGCAGCAGCTATAAGGGAATGGATAGGAGAACGGCTCGGGGGAGAGGTTCGGCTATTGAGTGGGGGGAGAAGCGGGGCGAAATCAATGCGAGGTGACGAAGGAGTAGAATGAGCACCAGGAGAATGTTGATGCGATGACTTACCGGCGGGCCTCTCAAGCAGCTTGAGGATTGCGAGAGGCTCCCCCTCCAGAGCAGCTTCAAGTGACATGTTGTTGTTGTTGTCTGCTTTGATGGTAATGTACTAAGGTAGCATGTCCCTGAGTGGGGTTAAAAAGAGGTTCGAAAGGATTGAATGTTTGTTGAGGTGGGAGATGAGTAGAGGTAAAGAAGCAGGAAATATTCAGTCCAGCCGGAGGAGGGTGGTGGTGGTGCAGGTCCATGAGATGATTCCAAGGGGGGAAATGTGTGCTAGGTTCTAGGATCTCAACCTTATCGGCTGGCCTGGTGGGCGTTGTCCTGAAGCGGATAGCGTGAAAGGGAGTGATGGATGCAAGTGGACTTAAGAGAGCGGACCGTGGAAGGAGAGCAAGGTGGGTGAGGAGTATTGCATTGCATGTACTAGTACCGGTAGGACCCTTTTCAACCACGGGCAAACTCTTCCCGTGATCCTTATGGCCCTTAAGACCTCTCTCTTTCATAGCAGTTGCTGTGATCTCCCCGGGCCGGAATCCTCCTCGGCCCAGAGATGAGTTTCTCAAGGAGGCGTTTAGAATCGTGGGCACACTCTCCTCTGACGTAGCACAAAGTCTCGATAGCTAACACGGACATTCCAGGAATCGCACATATCATCCTTGACGAATTACCCTCGTTCCATTCGACAAGCATATTTCTCTACAACCTCTGGCTGGCCGAATCTTCCCAGAGTAACCGCCTCGTTACTGGCCTATAGCAATCGGTCATCACTAACAGATGCGCAGTGCGACGCCATCGATGCCGAGGCTAAGGGCATTATTCAGGGACTTTCGACCATCATTTCTCGGCTAGAAAGCTCCGAGAAAGTCAGAGTACAAACGGAAGAAGCGCTGCTCCAGAAGCGCTATTCTTCAGGGTTCTGCAGTATCTTTCATGACGAGAGAGGGGAAAGGGAAGGGAGGAAGACAAACTTAGGACACTGAGCGTTCACAGAGAAGGGGTACTATGGCTACTAAAATCACGATTAGCAAAGGCCAGTGGGTTGCAGAGAGGACAGCAGGAAATTCGGCTTCAGCAACAGATCGAAAAAAGGGAAGAGTATCCTGTACTGTACAAAGCTCCGTCCGGTTTTCTACCGCCGAATCATACGGGCCGGCCTGTATCCAGCCCTCCTGTGTCCACCCCTCCGGCGGGAGGAGTGTCTTATTAGAAGCTGAGGAGCGGAAGAATATAAAGTCTCCTTACTGAAGAACAGCTTCAACTTTTTTGAGCAAGAGAATAGAGGCTTGGTGAAGCATTATGAAGATACTCTGGATCGAGTCAGGTAAGAACTTGTTGACACCCTTTCTTTGTCCCACATAAAGTTGATCACCTCCTCTCAGGTCGGCCCGGAAATCTCTCGTTGAGATATCCGCCCTGCAAACCCAGCCAGCGACAAACCTTGCTACCCAGAATGCATACATCGACAATCTCGTTGCTGATTCAATGTCGATCGTCGAGAATGTCCAGAGGGAACAAAGAGCTGAAGAAGGCGGGAGAAAATATCTCGATAATTCGGCGTTCTGGGGTACTGCAGCGTTTTCCGAGGTCTTCGTTTGGGACTGGTTCATATAGTTTCTATGATAGTTCCCTTCCCTCGCCCTTGAGACTCACGACACATTTTTTTCAAGTCTTGAGGAGTCACAGACTCACAGCATCATTCTACAAGTACTGTACAGTCCGTACGCTCCAAGCCCTGAACGAGACTCATAGCTGTTTTACACACTCCTACTAAGCTAACAAATGGATAGAGAAAAAGACCCCAAGATTGTAGGGGATATTGAGCATGATATTTTATTATTGTAGGACAAATAGCTTAGCAAACCCCGCACATAAAAACGCACCCAACTACCTTAACTTTAAATAGTATCAGCAATCAAACATGCCTTGGAACGAAAAGCCAAAGCTGCGACATTTGAATACCGAAGAAAAGGTTCAAGCACAGTTGGTAACTACAAGCAAGTAAACATTTGATCTGCGACAACAGCCCCCAGATCGCCCAGCATATCCCTCAATCCCACAACAAACCCCATCCCACCCTCCCCTACTTCTCATCGAAAACCACCCCCTTATAACACACCAACCCCTCGATACCTTCCAGAATATCCATTCTCGCCTCATGCAGCAACTCCTTCGCCGGTGCCCCCGCATACACCTCATCAGAGCACCATATCCTCACCGCCTCCTTCACCGTCGAAACATCTATAATCCTGTGATGTAGGTGATCTACAGAGGGGTAATAGCGTGCCAGGAAAACAGGGTCATGATGCACTGAATTCCGGGCAAGGAAGGCGACGCCTCTGTCCGGGACCCATTTCTTAACGTATGCGAGTCCTTCTGTGGCTTGGGCGATGGTTATGGTTGATTCTAGGACGTGGGCTATGAGGCTAGTCTATCGTGAGTAGCAAACAAGCAAACCCAATCAAAAATAAAAAAATAAAAAAGGGTAAAAAATTAGCATAAAAGGAGGTCGGGGAAAAAAAAGAAATCGTATTAAACCTCTATGGGTTTGGTGCTTTCCTCTATAAAAAAAAAACGTTTTTCTCAATCATTGCATCCTCATTGTGCAAGCCTTAATTGAAACTTTCACAAATTAGTTGCGCACTCTATTAAGGATAGGGAGTAGCTCTCATACTTTCATGCCCCCTTAACAACCCCTGGACTGCCTACACTTCCCGAGGTTCGCAAGCCATTCACGCATAGGTTCCTTATTTCCGTCAATGGCACTCATGACGTTACGGCCACTAACGATGATGGTCCCCTCGAGATTTTGACGGACCCCCTCGATATGTTGACGGATGCCATGTATCTCGCCCATCAGCTCTTTTTTGAGACCAGCATTTCCGTGTTTGGTTGCCCAGACAACAGTCGCTGAAGGGATGATTGCTGCCAGGAGGCCCGGTGCGTAAAGATTGGCAAACTCTATAACGAAAAGTGTTAACAAACATCTATCATTAGAGGGAAAATTGGTGGTAATACTAGAAAATCCGGAACTCATGGTGGATTAGAGAATTGATAAAGTGAATGTTGGTGGTTGAAGTGAGGTCGAATGACTTGTGATGGCTGAGGTGCAGTCGAATTTGTGGTGGTTAAAGTGTGGTGGTTGGTGGTGGGGGGATTTCGTCTCGCTCCAGAGCAACTCCTCGCTCTTATTCAAAAAACTTTGGAGTAGCTTAGCCACATATTGTTATTCCTTGGCAATAGGTCATTCAATCAAGCCGGGCTTGAAGAATTTGGGAACACTCCTCCACTGTCCAACACTGCCCTAGTATACTAGTACCGGTACCCAACCACCAACTATAAAAACTATTTCATGACCCTGTCCACTACCGGTACGCTTGGGTCCTGAGAACATCTTCAGCATTGGCTCTCCTCCATTCTATTCTCTCCCGGAGGACTCCAATCCCTCTACAATGTTCCCTTCTCCACCGTCTCTTCTCCCGCTCTGCGTTCTTACAAATGAAGTTCCAATGCACGGTTGTAACCATGCCCACCTCCGATCTCCCGGAACATGCATACTCCACTTTGATGGCAAACGCTACCTTTTCGGTCATATCGGAGAAGGAGCCCAGCGGGCGTTGGTTGAACGGACCATAAGGCTTACGAAGATATCCGACATTTTTCTTTCTCGTCGTACGGAATGGCAGAATACGGGTGGATTGGTTGGCCTTATATTGACTATGGCAGATCAGGATGCCGCAAAAATTTCCGATTGTCTAGGCAATCCCCAGGGAGGAACAAAGAAGAGAAAACCCTTGGAGCGAAAAGGAGTTACGGTTCATGGTGGGGAGAAGCTACTACATACACTTGCTACCACCTGGCCGTTTGTGTTTAGGAGAGCGATGAACCTGAGGCTGCGTGAGATTCCGGTGGTTGAGAGCGCTGAGGGTAAGAAGAAGCAAGCTATCGGGGCGCCATATTTCAGGGATGAAAATTTGATTGTTCATGCTTTGCATATTTACCCGGGGGAAGACCTCAGGAGTTCGACGGAGGAGATTGAGGCAGGGAGCCCATCAGTAGTGGGGAAGGTTGATGTTAGGGCTACCAGGAAGCGCTCGTTCGATGATTTTGCTAACCTTGAGAAACAGCGAGAAACTATTCTCGGAAGTGTGGTAGAGCAAATGTTTTGTTCTGACTGGAGTATGGACACAATGGCTGAAGAAGGAGATCCACTTGACGCTACTGGGCCTTCCACTGATACTCCTGTCGAATCGTTGCCCACATCATCATCAAGCCCTGACATGAGCAGGAGCAGGAGCACTAGCCCATCAAAACGGTCAAAGCTGATTCCAGAACGAGACCCGAACCTCTCAACGACCCTCCCACCACCAGGGAAGACCAGGGCACCTTAGCCAGCGTCAACCGTTCACTCACTTCCACGGTCACGTCCCACACGTATCTCTCTATCCTACATCGCAACACTACATCCTCAGCGCGGCAAATTCCCTCCTGTTAAGGCTAGGGAATTAGGTGTCATTCCTGGACCAGACTTCAGTCGATTAACAGCAGGCGAAGCAATCACAACTCCAAAATGGAAATGTCGTACAACCTGCTGATATGATGGAGCCTGTGAGACCCGGAACCGGTGTCGCCGTTTGTGACTTGCCAGACACGGGCTACATCAAAGACTTTCTTGAAAAAGAGGAGTGGAAAGATACTGAGAAGTTAGAACTGAGATTGGGTGTTTCTTCTGGATTCTCGGAAGTGGAGTTTCTGCAAATGAGAGGCTCCGGTCCTTCATGAAGCGAATGGGTCATTCTAAACACGTTATTAGTGCTCCAGAAGTTTGCCCTAATGCAATAACCTTCAAGGGGGGCGCAAAGCCATCGACAAAGTTGAACTTGCTGGATGAGAAATTCTCTCCCCTACCGTATTCCAGTATCAGAGTACCCTCCCAGGTAGACGAGTTCATGGAACCCGCGAAACCTGGAATGATCTTCAGAATTGAACCAAGGTGGGAATTTGACACCAAGGCCGTCAAGCCTCATTTCAGCAGGGAAGCTATATTGCAGGAAGCAGAGCCCACATACGTCGAGTTAGCGAGGATAACTCGCGAAAGCAATATCCAGAATCCCGGAGATGATTCCCCATGGAAAGATGTAGAGGTTATTACTTTGGGCACTGGCTCAGCGCTCCCAAGCAAATATCGCAACGTTTCTGCGACTCTCATTAAGCTTCATAGCGCCGGAAGCATTCTGTTGGACGCAGGCGAAAATACCTTAGGGCAACTTCGCAGTCTATAAGACCCTACAGGGCTCAAGGCAGCGCTAGGAGATCTAAAAGGACTCTATATTTCCCACCTCCATGCTGACCATTACCTTGGCTTTGCAGCAGTCTTAAAAGCATGGTTCAATGAGGTTTACCCACTGGCCAACTCTGAGGCGAATCAGCTAATGAACGTTGTGGCATCCTGGAAATTCCTCGTCTGGCTACGAGAATATGCCGATGTAGAGGAGTTTGGATTCTCTAAAATCTGATTCATTAGTTGCGAAGACCTCCTTCGGAAGAACTTGAATAAGCCAAATCATCTCACCGCCCATCTTCCTGAAGTACTTGATTCCCTGTCCCTAGCCTCAATTCAAACCTCTCGGGCAGTTCACTGTCTGAGCTCTTTCACTACTTCCTGGACCTGGAGCAATGGGTTTAAAATCGCCTACTCGAGGGATACTCGTCCTACCAAAGGCTTCGTTGAAAGTGGCCAGAACTCGACAGTTCTTCATGAAGTAACATTCGATGACGAACTTCTTCCAGAAGCAATTACCAAGAAACACTCTACCACTAGCGAAGCTATTAATGCCGGAAAGGAGATGGGTGCAAAGAACTTCATTCTCACCCATTTCAGTCAGCGGTACCCGAGGTTGCCAATTTTGAGTGCTGTGGATAACGGGCCGGAGGTGCTTATCGCGTTTGATCTTTGCAGGGTTAGGCTTGGAGATGTGAAAAGATTCGGAGCGTTCATACCTGCGTTGACGGAGTTGTATGAGGAGGCCGATGAGGAGAAAATCGAGGGAGAGGAGGAGGTGGAGGAGGAGCCGGTTGTCGAAGAGAAGAAAGGTAAAGTGGGTCAAGCTAGGGGATATAAACCTGGGGGGAATAAGTCCGAGAAGAAAAGCGATAAGCGAGCATGAAGTGGTGGTGGAAATAGGCCCTCGCCCCCCTCTTGTGAGTAAATAGAGTTTGTACAATCTACCAAAATACATTATTCTAGAGCTAGTAAATACAGTACTCTATATGTACAGAAGTGTAGAAACCAAAGTTAGCGCACCTGACCCAATAGTGGTTTCTACACTTATAGTGTTGGAGTAACCTGGCTCATGGCGTATTGAGAGTTTAGAGGTATCGGGGGGCAGGGCTTATACACAGGTAATGGAGATTTGAGATACTGTATTACTCACCCAATACTTCCCATTGTAAATTCCTTCTTGTTTTACTTAACCGGATACGGACTCGAATGCAATACCAAGTAAGAGTTTCATTCTTACAACTAATTAATTGGACCGGTGGCCACACAATGTGACTAGCAACTATTCTATTTATCACGCCAAATATCTTTTTGCTTAGGCTATATCCCGAAAAAACCCCACCGCATACATGCTACTTGTACATGAGAACCAGGGCGTTGGTTGCATTCTCTGTGCGGTTTCTCCTATGAGGAGCTCTCTTCAACTCATAGGTTGATACCCAGGCATCAGCCTCAAGGATTCAATTTCAATTTCTGCGCTTTTGTTCGTGGGTTTTAGGCGACCATAGTATAAGTAGAAGATGGGTTTTCGAGCCCAATATCTGAGCCATTATTTGCGACTACGCCTGCTTCCTTTGTACAAGTAGTCCAGCAGATGATTGACTGTAAATAGAGATTCAAAAAATGTATAATATCGGAGCAACGCGCACTACACATTGTTTGCGGGAACCGTGCATCTGCGGTGGAGGAGGCTCGAATAGGCTACGAAATTTATCACGGTAATTCATAAAGTACAGTATTCGGATGGCTTGGTGCCAGGTTGTCCATATTTCACCAAAAGAGCGGAACCTTGGCGCCAGGTCATCCGAATACTTTCTGAATCTCCAAGTAGAGTATCATACATCAATGGTTTTTGCTCCTCTACTACTGCACGGTACCAAAGCGATGATCAGTGACGAGGACGTCATGAAGAGAAGCGCCCCTGATGCGTTCAAGAGCAGGAAATGGAAGTTCGGGAGGTGATGGGAGAGCTCTATGTTGGAAATCCCGCGGGTCTTGGTCTCGTTGGTGTACCACAGCGTCTTCATATGCTTGAGACCCAGGTCACTGCACTCACCCGGAGCAACGCTGAACTCACCGATTACTTTTCGATATTGTGGCTTGCTGGGCCCGATTATAAAAGGGTTCGGAATAGATTGCTGACTGTCTATAAACGCGATAAATTGAAAGAGACCCTCACACCATGGGAGAAGCAAATTATTGAACTGGGCAATGTCACAGCGCATTCTGGTGATGCTGCCATTGACGCCTTGCTGTATGGCGGCATCGAGGGACGGCGAGATACTTATGTATTTGAGGCACTCTATGGACTACACCCATCTGATGCTAAGCATATCAGTGAGTAGTTTTCACTACCGTAAGTACTCAAATAAAAGAGAAATGTTCTAGGACGTTGTATTTGCCTCTCCTAGTAAGGTGCTGTGCATATTACTTTTGTTCAGCTCGACTCTGGGCCGAATTTGCGGTGTTTTCCCCTCGCTAAGCTGAGAATGGGAATTCCAACGTCCTGGCACATTTCTCTTCTATTTGAGTACTTACGGTATCTGATCTCAACCTAAGCGCCTGCATTCAAGCTAACTTCTACAGCCCACGACAAAACAATTGAGATACTCAACATCCAAGCCGGAGTCGAAGCCCACCGTGATGAAGTCGGAACAGGTGAGTTTTACCGAAGTTTTCTGTGTTCATAGAGGCATACAAACGTTCGGACCCTAGGGTGAACTACTTAGCTGAGGGACCCACAAACGAAACCTGCACTGCCTACTGGTCACTCCTTGAGTGTAAAGAATATGAGGGTAAAGCAAGATGATGCTACGAGTGAGGGTATTTCACAGGGGAGAAAGTGATAATGCTTTAATGAGTTGACAGTGGAGGAGAGGGGAATTTTCGTCTGGTGGGGTGGTGGTCAAGTAGTGGGGGGGAACTAGATTTCTACTCAATTACAGCCCTTTCCCTGTTTCGGCACCCTCTGTTGTGTTTCGTTGGTGTTCTGGTCATTTTTATAAATTGAATTTTATCGGGTTCGATTTCTCCCGTCTTTAGCGTCCCTACTCACTTGCCTTTTATACAGTGAATTCGTGGGGATTGAACTCCTGTTCCTAGGTTCTGTTATTTTTTCGTTCTCTCCGGATCCAACGCAAGCTTGAAATTCACCCTGGTTACCTACGGACGCTTACCTGGCCATATCCACGGGTGTCATAATTACGATACGCGACCATAAGTACTGTAGCCAGCGTTGCAACACCGGGATATAAAGCTAGGGCCCTTCTCGGAAAAACCTTTATATCGGGGAACAAGTGATGTAATGATAGGAGCCAAATATAATATCTGGGGGTGTGGTTTCGTGGTGTACTTGGTTCTACACCACATTGCGAATGAAAAACGATGACTTCTCACCCACTAAACCCAACTTAGCCACTATTCGTGGGGGTCGAGCTGCACACCTCCCCTTCCTCCCCCCAGAAACGCGGCACGTTCTTCCAGAGCGGAAAGGCAATCGCATAAGTTAGCGCCCAAAAGAAAGTATAGACAAGATCCGAACCCCGGTATTTGAGGCCCTAGAGCATGTTGACAAAAATTACAGTGGACCATTCCTACTGCCTAGAATAACATTTGAGGCTGAGGAAAGCGTTCAGAAGCTGACGGATAGCCCTTCACTCATCGGATTCATTCAGCAATGGGTTCGGATGTCCTATGGGACGGCGCAGTATCCGTTACCAGTGTCACCCCTTGCGTTGATAACTATACTCATCAAGATCACAAAACATCACTCGACAAACATCTCTATTCTAAGCCACGCATCGCAAAGATATTGCGTTTGCTTTGGCCGGGTTGACGATAGCGGGCTTGTGTCGGCCGAAGACCGGAATATAATATTATGGAAAACCCGTGAAATTTAATAATAATATTATTATGGAATACCACGGAGGAGAGAGAGAACCCAACCACAATATTCCAATCCCTAGCTGTTGATTACCAAAGCCACCATCTCCAGCCGGCCCCACTTTCGACAGCACTTGCCGCTCACTGCTCATAGCAACGCGAGAAGCGGCAGTAGTCTTTGCGGTTAGTGTCGTCTGTAGGACCAGAGGGGAACTAGGGCATTGTTCTCGGTTCCTACAGTACGCGGGGCGATTGTAGTGCCAGGCTCCTTTTCGATAGGGTGATTGGCGGTGCCGCGGGCTTTCTTGGTTAGGGGGTTGGAAAGCTTTGCCAACGTCCTTGATGTAGTCATCTAGGATGGTGGAGCAGCTTAGGCGACAGCCTCAAAGCCAATCGGCAGGCCTATTTCGATGATCAAAAGGACGCAGCCGTTCGGATCTAGGTGCGACCACAGTTGTTCAATGGCTTGGCGGCTGAAAAACAACCTCCCTATCAAGAGGATTCTGTTTGTAGCAATGATCGGATCACAGAGTTTTCTCACAGCCTTATCCATCTCCATCAGGGAGCCTAGCGTGTAGTATAGGTTTTTGAATAGATAGCCGGCACTCGAGTAATAAACAGAGTATCGTCCATATTAAACCACAATGACCTATAACAAGCGAGTGATAGTATATGATCGCAATGGCGATGACTAAAGCACGCAAAAAACTCGGCAAGACTAAAAGCGGGGAAGGTAACTCTCATTCGATACGCAACACGATAACATGATGCTCACTACTCAACTAACTAACTAAACTGCGAACACAGGAGTATAAATCAGCTGCAACAAAGTACCCTCCTATCCTTCCACCGATCACCACACATACCCGTTCTCCTGACGCAAATCTTCCTTTCCTCCGTGTATTCCCATGCTAACAAAGGAAAAACACCACAAAGACTCACTCCCACAGCTGCGCAGCCTCCCACTCCCCTTATCTCTCGCGAACGATAACAAGCGAACCACGAACGAACAAGCGAACTGCGAAGGACGGAGAAGAGCAGCGAAGGACGGAAATGAAACGTGAATGGACAAGGGGGTGATCGACCAGATAAACAGCGAGCGACCGACGGAAGGCAAACTGCGGACGATAAAGATAAGCCACTATCGGATACGAACCGAGAACAGCGGAGACGGACCGCAATGGACAGAGACGGATCACGAACGACAGGCGGATAGACAGACGGTTAATGGATACTATGAATATGGTGAGCAGCATCGATGGTTTCCAACGGCCCATGACCCTTGAAGACGACTGCCCGCAATCTACTCCTCTCCCTCACCGCCGGCAGTTCCCTCCCACCCAGGCCAGGTGGCGGCTTCACTGTTCTCTCCGAAAGCTCACTCTTCCTCCTCTCCTCCCCCACTTCAACAATACTCTGCCAACCAAGTACCCGAGTGTCCTTACCCCCCACATCAAGCACATTCTAAACACCGTGCTTCCTCCCATCCCGGCCGAGCACTCAATCACTGCCCAACCACTTCTGCTGCTCGGTCAACGAACTCAAGGCCTGCGCGTACAGCACCGGCATCACCCCAGTGAAAAAAATGTTTGTACCAATACCCGACCCTGGAATGCTAGTCGGGTTTGTGAGAATAGTCACCTCGCACGTACTCCGCTTCTCCGGGTAGATGGGTTTGGCTGTAATTGTCTGGTTTGCCGGGGCTGATGTCTTGCCTCCGATGTTGTACTTTCACCACCTCCTCAGGTTCATCAGAAGTAGCGAGCGAGAGTGGTATTTGGCCGCAATCATCTGACCTTTCAGGGTTGACCTCTTCCTCCTCAACAAAGGTTTTCAGTACTCCCCCGTGTGCATGTCTGGCGGGATACGTGAGCGGTGGTCGGACAAGAGTGTCTGGCCCGCCGGAATTGACATCTTCCCGCCCGAGCAGTATTATCACCGTTTCCTCACTTCCAAACCAAGAAGCGAGCGCGAGAGGTCCCGACTGTCATTGCCGGGCCGGTC